AAGTCATGGAGCAAAATTCCTGGTACTAATTTCAGCCATTCCTGGGTGTTAGTCTCCTGTTTTGTTGTTTTATGTTCCCCAGATGAATGCAATCTTTCTGTGTCTATCCTGCTCCTTCTGACTCATTTCGCTTAACATGATACTTTCCATGTAGTACCACTTGTATGTAAATTTCATGACTTCATTTTTTCTAACAGCTACACAGTACTCCATTGTGTAAATGTACCAAAGTTTCTTTAACCAGTCATCTGTCCTCAGGCACTCAGGTTTTTTCCAGATTCTGGCTATTGTAAAGAGTGCTGCAATGAACAAACAATTGCAGATGTCACTTCGACTATACCTTTTTGCCTCTCTGGGATATATTCCCAGGAGTGCTATAGCTGGGTCAAATGGGAGATCAAATTCTGATTTTTTGAGAATCGTCCATACTGTTTTCCAAAAGGGTTGGACCAGCCGGCATTCCCATCAGCAGTGAAGGAGGGTCCCTTTCTCGCCACATCCGCGCCAGCACCAGTTACTTTTGTTCTTTTGGATGTGGGCCAGTCTCTGTGGTGTGAAATGATATCTCATTGTTGTTTTGATCTGCATCTCTCTGATGATTAGTGATGTAGAGCATTTTCTCATGTGCCTTTTAGCCATTCGGATTTCTTCTTTGCGAAAGTTTCTGTTCATTTCCTCGCCCCATTTTTTGATGGGGTTGACATCGCCCCATTTTTTGATGGGGTTGGATGTTTTCTTTTTGTGGAGTTCAACCAGTACCTTGTATATTCTTGATATCAACCCCTTGTTGGATGTGTATTCGGCGAATATCCTTTCCCATTCTGTAGACTGTCTTTGTATTTTGGTCACTGTTTCTTTTGAGGTGCAGAAGCTTTTTAGTTAAGATAATCCCATTTGTCTACCTCTGTTTTCACTTGCTTGGCCAGTGGTGTGACATCTTTGAAGATACCTTTAGCTTCAATATCATGAAGGGCTTTGCCAACTTTGTCTACAATGAACTTTATGGATTCCGGTCTGATGATGAGGTCTTTAATCCAGTTTGATCTTACTTTTGTACATGGTGTTAGGCAGAGATCTGTGGGGCTCACTTTCTTTAGTAAAAAGATCTGACGGTGCTAGGAGGTCCCACTTCCTTAGTTGTAGTGCTCATGCACATTCTGGCTATAGAGTTCACCAGGAATTGCTGCGGTGTTCACACATGTGCTCACTGGGGGTGTTGCTTGTACATACCACACCACAGTACTGTGGAGGTCCCACACTCCATTCTGGCACCAGAAACCACACTTGGCACATGTGGACAGCACTGGGCATTGAATTTAAGTCTTTATGCTTACAAAGAAGTCATCCCCAAGGGTGAGGTCTCATTTTCTATAGCCAATTCCAAATATGCTGAATTGTAAAGTGTGATGGCTATAGACCCAGGTTCTGGAATTTCAGAGATCTGTAACTAACTATACAGTTCCCTACCGAGTAGTCCCGAGTAGCCCCAAACATGATATTTTGAAGACAGGTCCTTTAACTATAAAATAAGCATAATGGTTCTTCACAGGATTCTTGATAGGATTATATCAAACCAATCCAAACCATGCATATAACGCTCCAAGCAGAGTGCCTGGCACAAAGAAAATGCTCTGAATCTATGATTTTTCCCCTTATTGATCCCATAAATGATATTCAGTTTCTTGCAAAACACTATGATAATGATTGCTGGAATGAAAAAGTGACAACCACCAGCTTGACAATTATGAAAAAAAAAAAACCTGTTCTGGGCATAGAAAATTGGCAAGGTAACTTATTAATCTTACTGTGTTGCTTCCTACTGAAACAAAAAACAAGGCCCTTCTATTGGAAGAAGCTTCTGCAGAACTAAATCTGAGGCTTTTTTTTCCTTCTGGTGTGGGGCGTTGGTGCTCAGTTGGCACTGGTGTTTCTGAGGGGCTGTGTGAGGCTAGTTTTGTAAGTGCTGAGTAATCTGAAAACTGGATCCAATTGCTGTTACCAAGAGAAATTGCTGCAGGAAGTGGGGAGTTGGTGCTAGGTTTGATTACCCTAAAGCAGGAAGTTGATGGAAAGGTGTGTATCCCTTGCCCTGCCTCCAGCCTTGTCTTCTCCCTCTAGTGCCCCTATCGGCTGAACTGACCAGGGAACAATTGACAAAAGCAGAAATATGGCCTGGAGAGCCTTAGCCTGAGGAACAGAAGATTTGTTTGTTTGTGTTTTTCTTTGGGTGCCACAGCTGGAAGTTCTCAGGGGTCACTCCTGGAGGTGCACAAAGGACCATACAGTGCCAGAGATGGAACCCAGGCCTCCTGCATATTTAGAAACACACAGAGAAGCTCAAGGTGAGGGCTGACCCATGAGAGCTTAGTAAGTGGCCATCAGGGTATAGAGGCTAAAGTTCAGAAGTGACAGTGTAGACAGATGTGGCAACTTCTCAGGCCAGGATGGGGGAGTATCTACACTTCCTCACCTTGGTGTAGAGGAAACATGATGGGCTTCCTTCCAAGGTACAGCACCACACCTGCTAGTGAATAGAGCCCAGGAATGTACTGTGTGTCTAATAAAATAGCCAACTCTCCCTTTGGCAATGGGGTGGGACTCTGGCAAATGACAGTCCAGAAGCAGTGATGGGAGGGGGACTCCTATTACCCAGCACCCCCCCATGACGTGAGGAAGGACTAGAGCTAGAAGTACCTGTAACATCCCAGGCTTTGTGTCAGCACAGAGTAAGCATTCAGTAAATGGTGGTGATTACTCTGCAGAGGAAGAAGAGATAGAGAAAATAAGTTAAGGCATGAAGTAACTGGCTCATGTAACTTTGAGAGAGCGACATGCCTGTCTGAGGTCAGTTTCCTGATGTGGAGCTGAGACAACACTCAAGGAGGCACTGACTATCTTGCAGTAGACCGCAAACACCGGAAGCTATTTTGTTTGAGGCATCATCCAAAGCTTAGTTGATTACTAATGATTTTGCTGACACTACATAGAAAACGGGCTGGAGCAATAGCACAATGGGTAGGGCGTTGACCTTACACGCAGCCGACGCGGCCAACCTGGGTTCGATTCCTCTGCCCATCTCGGAGAGCCCGGCAAGCTACCAAGAGTATCTCGCCTGCACAGCAAAGCCTGGCAAGCTATCCATGACATATTTGATATGCCAAACACAGTAACAACAAGTCTCACAATGGAGACGTTACTGGGCCCGCTCGAGCAAATCGATGAACAACAGGAGGACAGTGCTACAGTGCTACATAGAAAATATTCAGTGGTCTTGGTTCTCTCAGATCATTGAATAGATGAAGAAATGGAGGCACAGAAAGAAGTTCTAGAAAAGTCAAGAGCTTGGGCTAGCAGGGAAGGAGGGCAGTCAGTGAAACTTGGATGAAATTTCTTGCTTATTCTCACTTACTGGCTAAACTAGTTTCTCTGGGCTTCACAGCATAGCCAGGACTGCAGAAATGAAGCTGGAACTTGAGTGAGTGCTAATAGCGGTGAAACAGTCCCAAGGTCCTTAGTGACTAGAGAGGCCCAGAACAGACCTTTCAGCTGGGTCTGGGCATTCCTTGGTGCTAAGGGGAAATTTCAGTCAGAGTATTAACAATTATTTCCTTGAAGCATTGAGCAAGTCACTCTATCTTTTCTCCCTATGGGTTTTCCCTCTATGATTCTGATACTTGACTTTGTATTTGTTTTCTGGAAGCTGGTAGCAAAACAGAAGGCCCTGGAAGATGAGAATCTGGAAGAAGCTTAGGGAAGTCCAGTAGAGATGAAGCAAGGATTGCAGAACACAAATAGTTCTCATCAGAGTCAACTCAGGACTTCTCCATGACTGACAGGGAAGAGCAAGAGTGTAGAGAAAAAGGGCAACTGGTGTTGGGTATTCTGAACTCGAAAGCTTGAGGAAGGCCAAAGAGACTGTGTATTAAATGTCGCTCTCTCTCCAGAGGAGTTAGTATGTCTCAGTAGCAAGAGACATAAACCATAAACAAGACAATTTGAATATCACTGTAGTTAGTTTATTTTGACATGTGATTTATATGGAGCAACATGCTTCACATGAAGTGCCTCGTGTATCCTCACTATAATTCTATTACAGATGGGGGTGGAGGGTGTTTCTTTATCCATAAGTCTTTCATCAACTGAATCTCAGAGAAGGCAGAATTAATCATATTTCCTTATTCAGTTTGTGTTGTCATCATTGGCCTGTCCATGACCTTTTCTTCTTCTATTTAACTACTTTTATGATTCTCTTGTAACCATATTCTCCAAGTAAATCCACCCCATATATATTTCACATCCAAACAATGAGAATTTGGGATTATGTCACCTCTGTGATCCATTTCAATTATAAAATACCATCACTCATCCCTTTACACACATATATTTAGAAATACATATATTATATACATAGCTATGGAGTTATTTTCTTTATTGCTTCCCTTTGTGTTATAGCCCTCCAAGTGCATGCCCGCCAGTGTTCCTTCCTAGAATTGGCAGTGACACCACATTGGTGCCAAACTCCCTAATGTCACAAAGAGAGGGGCCTAGTCTCCATAGTCTCCTTTATGGACTGAGGATTGTTTGGGTTTATCTGGTAAAGAATGGAATTGCTATTCAAAGAACACACATACATTGATTTTCTAAGTATAAGAAGTGCCAGAGGCAAGGCCTATCATTATCCCCATTTGCGGAAATCAGGAAATAGACATTGAGAGTTTTAATAACTTGACATAGTCAGTAACTAGCAAAGCTGCAATTCGAATTCAGACAGTCTTACTCCAAAAATCGAGCTCCCGCTAAAGTGATGCCACCGTTATTCTCTGAGCATCTGGGACTTAAGGATCTTTTACAGGAATGAAGGTAAGTCTCATTATAGTTCTATGATCTCATAACCTAGAAACTCAGGGGGGCTGGTATCTTTTCTGAAGCCCACACTTCCCACACTCTCTTAACTGCTTATAACTATTTATCTCTGACTTCCCTGTCCTGTGGGTCTGCAGAGCTGAAAGCCGCACTGATCATCCAGAACTGGTACCGAGGGCACAGCGCTCGGTTGAAGGTCAGACAACGCTATGCACTCTCCATCTTCCAGTCCATCGAATACGCTGACGAACAATGCCAATTGCAGGTCTGCTTTGCAAGCTTGTTTCTTCTTTGAGTGAAATGCATCTCTACTCCCTGTGGTATTAAAGAATGAAAGTTTATAGTCCAGCTTTAATGCTTATTAATCAAAAATACCCTTTATGGGAGTCAAAAGATCTTGAAAAGACATCCAATATGATTGTTGGTGGAAAAAAAATCAACACGTAGAACAATATGTTGAATTTCATCCTAAATGTGTGAAAGGAAGTTGAACCTACAACTAAAGTCTGAGAAAGTCTCCAAACCTCCTTCTCCACCTCCTCCTCCTCCTCCTATTCCCCATCTTCCTCTATTCCTCCTGTCCTCTTACATTTCCAAATGTATTTGACATTTAACAGTATCCCATAGCCCTTAATCTCACCTCTAAAGGAAAAGGCGAGATCCTAATGAACAAATCTAGGACAGATCATAGATTGGTTTCCAAGAAGCAGAATCTGTAAGACCCTGATTTTCAATCATACTAGTGATTGTCTAAGAGTGTTCATGGGGGAAATCTAGAAGGAGCGAGAAAAGCAGGATAGAAGAGAAAAAGCTAGGCGAAAATATGGCTTCTAGAAAAGTCTGATCCCAGTGGGAGCTCTGAAGCATGAAATGTATCTTAGACTTTGGTCCAGATGGTGGAAAGAGAAGTGGGGGGCAGGGCTCAACACTGGGTTTCAGTTAGTCATTTTCTATGAGTAGCTCCCCAGGATGGGGATATGGTGATATCCTGTGAAACTTTAGGGGAGATGCCATCCGTTTGCCAAGGGCAATCTTTGGAGTGGGATGCAGACTGGGGGGGGACACAATCAGTGCCTTTGGCCCCTGGCGGATAGAGACCCCTGAAGAGTGAAGGGGAATTGCATGCAACACCAGCAGGCTGGGCCACAGGAACTCATTAATTGAACATCTATTTTTATTTTATCCAGCTATCCAACTTCTTTTCCTTCATGTTGGAAAACTGTACAAATTTAAATGAGAATGATCCAGGTAAGTAAAAAGTTTCTCATTTAAAAAAAATTCATTAAGTATTGACTTGTTGGGGGTGGAGCGATAGTACAGCGGGTAGGGTGTTTGCCTTGCATGTGGCCGATCTGGGTTCCATTCCCAGGATCCCATATGGTCCCCTGAGCACCACCAGGAGTAATTTCTGAGTGCAAAGCCAGGAGTAACCCCTGTGCATAGCCAGGTGTGACCCAAAAAGCAAAAATAAAAAAAGTATTGACTTGTTCTCATCAAGGGATATAAATTCTAAAGTAGGGCACACCCTTGGGGCCAGAGTAATTCCTGAGTGCAGAACCAGGAGTAACCCTTTTGCATTGCCAGGTGTGACCCAAAGAGAATAAAATAAAATAAAATAAATTAGGGCACACCCAGAAATGGAGAAGTTGTCACTTGTTAGGGTAGGGAGATAGTTCAAATGGTAGAGCACATGTCTTGTCTGGGTGAGGACTTGAAATTTTTCCTTTATCACATGCCCCTTCCCTTCCCCTCCCTTCCCCTCAGCACTGCTGAGTGCAGACTGGGCCTGAGAGTATAAAGTTTGTCTTGTATGCAGTTGACTCCAGTTCGATCCTTGGCACTGAATATGTCCCCGAGTACAGCCAGGAATAATTCCTCAGCACAGTCAGGAGTAAGCCCTGAGCACAACTGGGTGTCCAGAAAAAACCAACAAATGCGGGGGCCCCCGCCAGACCAATCCTCCAGTCCGCGGAGGTGGCCCTAGGGTCCGTAGGTGCAAGGAGGGACCGACCGAATGAACACAAGACACAAGAGACACAGTGCAGTTTAGAAACAGAGAAAAAGGGACAGACTTTATTGAGGACTACAGGCTGTTTATATAGGGTCCGGGGCGGCCCAGTCACGAGCAGAAGCAATATAACCATACATGGTAAGGTCAGCAACAAGAACTTTACATAGCATTCAAGGTAAAACATCTGTACATCAAATGGTCTTATGGCAGCAGCTGCAACTTTGGGATGTCTATAGATAAGTCCAGATTTACGCAAGTATCTGCCTGCCTGTTCATGGTCACCGGACAAACATCTGTCAGGGTCAGAGGGTTCTAGGAAGCCTCTAAAGAGGAAGCTCTCAGGGTCTGTGTGGGCCCTGCAAAGGGGGCTCAGTAATTCAAGGTCTCACAGAGCAGTCTTGGCTCCCGACAAACAAATGCCACTTGCCTTGTTCATGTGACCCCAAGCAATCAGGGAAATTGGTTCAACTAGCGCTTCCCTCTCTGATTGGTGTCTACAAAATCTTTATTTAATTAAAATATTTCATTTTATTTGGGGGAATCCCTTCCCAAGAATATTTCTGGCAGTACTTAGTCACTGGGCCAGATGATTCAATCCTAGGGCCCAGTGAAGCATCATAGGGGGCATCTGGATTGCACTAGGTGATGCTTCAGGGGACAGGGTTCTACAGCATCAGGGATTGAACTTGGGTTCTTATGCATGCAAGGTATGTGCGCCTGATCCCCCATGCCAAACTTTCTCCCTAGACCCTGATTAATCTGTTTACTCTAAAAAAATGGAGTTAGAATTTATTTAGTGTTAATTTGGTAAATAACTTCTCTGACCCACAATCTCTTTAGGGTTAGTAGTAGCTTAGTAAAAAAGGGTATTTTATTTTGTTTGGGGGCCACACCTGGCAGTGCTCAGGGTTTAGTTCTGGCTATGTGCTCAGGGATCACTTCTGACAGGCTTCGGTGACCATATGGGTTGCGAGAGATTGAGCCAAAGTTGGCTAAATGCAAGGCAAGTGCCCTACACACTGTACTGTTGCTCCAGCCCCCAATAGGTTATTATTTTTTTGTCCACCAAAGTTTTGTGCTGAGCAATCAGAATACCTTAAGTATTTCATGACATAGCTCTGCCAGAAAAGGGTGGACTAAATAAAGTTGGCCCCTGCAGTAGGGTCTCGAATGGGTTGTTCAGTGAAAAAAGTTAAAAGTTCATCCCATCATTGTTCTCTGTATCGCTATCTGTTTATCTTTCATTTATTTAGTCATTCTGAAATGATTAAGTAACTCTTTTCAGAGACAGGCAATATATGTGGCCCACATATGAATCTAAAATTATTTTTAAAGCATATCTATTTCTCCCGCAAATTAAGAACTGCCTCCTGTTTTCTTTAAGGCAGAAGCTAGACTTAAAAGCTCACTTTCCCAAAACATTTGAGCCAATCATTTGGATGGACTCTAATTATAAAAGAAGTGACATCTAAGAGATCTTTTAAATAATCTGGTATACAACCTTCAACGTGGAGAAAGAGGGGTTTTTAATGATTGCTTATGCAAAGTACATATGTATAAACTAATTAAAGCTTTTCATGATCTGAATGATGAGGTAGCCAGACCTCAGCAGTGGGGAGTGGGTGGTGGCAGGTTTTTTTTTTTTTTGCCATCTTCTTTCCTTTAGATAATTGCAATTTGAAGAGTTGCTTGTGCTTTATGTTCTTTGGCAAAAATATTTTTGAGAGGAAATATAACAATGATGAAATGAAATAGCGTTCTTTCAATGCAGGTGTGCATAAGAATCACTCATGGGGGCCAGGGATGTAGCTAAGTGGAAGAGCACTTGCCTTGCATGTGTGGGGTTCTGGGTTTAATTCTCCAACACTTTATGCACTATATGATCCCCCAAGCATTGCTGGGAACAACCCCAGAACTGAGCACCAAGTCAGGAGTAACCCTTGGCCAGCCGCACACGCTAGGGGAAAAGGGAGCTCAGATAGAGAAGGGAGCACCAAATAAAGGGTGTTGGGAGGATCCTCCCAGGATGGGAGAAGCATGCTGAAAGTAGACTATAGACCAAACATGATTGCCACTCAATGCCTCTCTTGCAAACCACAGGACCCAAAAGGAGAGACATAGAACAAAAGGCAATGCCCTGCCACAGAGGCAGGGTGGGATGGGGGTAATGGGGGGTGGAAGGGATACTGGGATCCGTGGTGGTGGGAAATGGGCACTGGTGGAGGGATGGGTATTTGATCATTGTATAATTGAAACCCAAGCACAAAAATTTGTAAGTCTACAACTGTACCTCATGGTGTCTCACTAATAAAAATTAAAAATAAAATAGTCAGGTGTCAATGAACCTCCCTCTCTCCCCTTCAAAGTCATATATCAGATTCTTTGCCATAGATGGCTGGATTCTAGCCTAGGGATAGGCGAAAATAAGTTTTAATCCTATAAACTTTGTATAACTTTAAAATCTACATTTAAGAAACCCTTCAGATGATTAAAAACCATTTTTTAAATTATCCAAGAGGTTATAGGAGAGGGGAGAGTGATACTTCTCCAAGTACACCTTGTTGTAGTCCTGACACTTAGAAAGAACTATAAAAATTCTTCAGGAAGTAAGTGTATGTGTACACGCCTGTGTTGTGTGTGTGTGTGTCGTATGTGTGTATGTGTTTGTGTGTGTGTTTGTCTTTCCAAAATAGAGTATACACTATGAAAAGTGAACCTAATTGTATTCCATTCGTATTGACTATTGTGGACATCTGAAGCGAGTGGCGAAGAAATAAAAAACTTCTGTAGCTACTTACGTAGCAAATAGCATTGTAGGGGCCAGAAAGATTGCTCAATGGCGCATGACTTTACATGCAGGACTCCTGAGTCCTGTTAGGAGTGACCCCTGAGTGCAGAGCTGGAAAGAGCCCCTGCTCTCAGGCCTAGCCCAAACCAATCAGAATCATAATAGAATTTTAACCATGAATGCCTTGATAAGGTTGCTTTTTTCTTTGTTTCTGCAGGAGTTTGCTAAAATTCTGTTATGTTTTAAGTCAGGTATAGGACATTTTAAACATTACCTAAAAACCTTTCTTTTCAAGTATAAATATGCTTCTTTATGAATTCTGCTTCTAAAGTTAGATATTTTACTATATTTTATTTTTATTTTTGTTTGTTTGTTTTGATGCCATACTCAACAGTGCTCAGGTGACCAGGTGCAACTGTCCTGGATCAAATCCGGGTTGACTAAGTGTAAGGCAAGGGCCCTACCCACTGTACCATTTCTCTTCTCTGGCCCAACTTAGAGATATTTTAAATGTGGGTTATCAAGTTTACATTTCTAGATCTTTTATATGGTTTGATTTAATGTTTTTAAATATTCCACGAGGGGCCAAAAACATAGTACAGTGGGTAAGGCATTTGCTTTGCAAGCAGCCAACCCAAGTTCAACCCTGGTATCCCAGATGGTCCCCCAAGCCCACCATGAGTAATTTATGAATGCAGAGTAAACACTGAGCACCACCAGGTGTGACCACTCCAAAGTTTTAATATTATATGAATTTTGGATTTTTTAAAGGTAAAGGTAAAGGTAAAGGCCCTCCCGTTGATCATTGATTTGCTCGAGCGGGCCCAGTAACGTCTCCATTGGAGACTTTGTTGTTACTGTGTCTGGCATATCGAATACTCTCGGTAGCTTGCGGGGCTCTCCGAGAGGGGCGGAGGAATCGAACTCGGGTCGGCCATGTTGGCCGCTTGTAAGGCGAACGCCCTACCCGCTGTGCTATCGCTCCAGCCCTCAAGGTAAATTGCTTTTGATGTTTAGTAGTTGAGAAGAATTAAAAGACACAAGGAAAATTTCCTAATAGCTAAATAATTTTACATGCAACGTTTATTGGTAATATGTTTTCTACCATGATTTGCAGTGTCTCGCTTATAATGTATTCATTTAAAATTACTGGGCCTGGGGCTGGAGCAATAGCACAGCAGGCAGGGCGTTTGCCTTGCACACAGCCGACCCAGGTTCGATTCCCAGCATCCCATATGGTCCCCCGAGCACCGCCAGGAGTGATTCCTGAGTGCAAAGCCAGGAGTAACTCCTGAGCATCGCCAGGTGTGACCCAAAAAGAAAAAAAAATTACGGAGCCTGAGCGACAGCACTATGGGTCAAGCACATGCTTTGTATGCAAGAGGCCGGGTCCCATCCCCGGTACCACATGGTTCCCCTGAGCACCACCAGAATTGGCCATAGAGTACC